GTCATGCGTGTCTCGTGATCTGATCATGTGACCTCAGTCCTCAGCGGTCTGGGCTAGTCTGACGTCATGCGTGTCTCGTGATCTGATCATGTGACCTCGGTCATCAGCGGTCTGGGCTAGTCTGACCTCATGCGTGTCTCGTGATCTGATCATGTGACCGCGGTCCTCAGCGGTCTGGGCTAGTCTGACGTCATGCGTGTCTCGTGATCTGATCATGTGACCGCGGTCATCAGCGATCTGGGGCTAGTCTGACCTCATGCGTGTCTCGTGATCTGATCATGTGACCGCGGTCCTCAGCGGTCTGGGCTAGTCTGACGTCATGCGTGTCTCGTGATCTGATCATGTGACCGCGGTCCTCAGCGGTCTGGGCTAGTCTGACGTCATGCGTGTCTCGTGATCTGATCATGTGACCGCGGTCATCAGCGGTCTGGGCTAGTCTGACGTCATGCGTGTCTCGTGATCTGATCATGTGACCGCGGTCCTCAGCGGTCTGGGCTAGTCTGACGTCATGCGTGTCTCGTGATCTAATCATGTGACCTCGGTCATCAGCGGTCTGGGCTAGTCTGACGTCATGCGTGTCTCGTGATCTGATCATGTGACCGCGGTCCTCAGCGGTCTGGGCTAGTCTGACGTCATGCGTGTCTCGTGATCTGATCATGTGACCGCGGTCATCAGCGGTCTGGGCTAGTCTGACCTCATGCGTGTCTCGTGATCTGATCATGTGACCGCGGTCCTCAGCGGTCTGGGCTAGTCTGACCTCATGCGTGTCTCGTGATCTGATCATGTGACCTCGGTCATCAGCGGTCTGGGCTAGTCTGACGTCATGCGTGTCTCGTGATCTGATCATGTGACCTCGGTCATCAGCGGTCTGGGCTAGTCTGACGTCATGCGTGTCTCGTGATCTGATCATGTGACCTCGGTCCTCAGCGGTCTGGGCTAGTCTGACGTCATGCGTGTCTCGTGATCTGATCATGTGACCTCGGTCCTCAGCGGTCTGGGCTAGTCTGACGTCATGCGTGTCTCGTGATCTGATCATGTGACCTCGGTCCTCAGCGGTCTGGGCTAGTCTGACGTCATGCGTGTCTCGTGATCTGATCATGTGACCGCGGTCCTCAGCGATCTGGGGCTAGTCTGACGTCATGCTTGTCTCGTGATCTGATCGTGTGACCTCGGTCCTCAGCGGTCTGGGCTAGTCTGACGTCATGCGTGTCTCGTGATCTGATCATGTGACCGCGGTCCTCAGCGGTCTGGGCTAGTCTGACGTCATGCGTGTCTCGTGATCTGATCATGTGACCTCGGTCCTCAGCGGTCTGGGCTAGTCTGACGTCATGCGTGTCTCGTGATCTGATCATGTGACCTCGGTCCTCAGCGGTCTGGGCTAGTCTGACGTCATGCGTGTCTCGTGATCTGATCATGTGACCGCGGTCCTCAGCGGTCTGGGCTAGTCTGACGTCATGCGTGTCTCGTGATCTGATCATGTGGGGGAAGAGATGCGGGTGAAGAGATGCGGGTGAAGAGATGCGGGTGAAGAGATGCGGGGGAAGAGATGCGGGGGAAGAGATGTGGGGGAAGAGATGCGGGTGAAGAGATGCGGGTGAAGAGATGCGGGGGAAGAGATGCGGGGGAAGAGATGCGGGTGAAGAGATGCGAGGGAAGAGATGCGGGGGAAGAGATGCGGGGGAAGAGATGCGGGGGAAGAGATGCGGGTGATGAGATGTGGGGGAAGAGATGCGGGGGAAGAGATGCGGGTGAAGAGATGCGGGGGAAGAGATGCGGGGGAAGAGATGCGGGGGAAGAGATGCGGGTGAAGAGATGCGAGTGAAGAGATGCGGGGGAAGAGATGCGGGGGGAAGAGATGCGAGTGAAGAGATGCGGGTGAAGAGATGCTGGTGAAGAGATGTGAGTGAAGAGATGCGGGGGAAGAGATGCGGGGGAAGAGATGCGGGGGAAGAGATGCGTGGGAAGAGATGCGGGTGAAGAGATGCGGGTGAAGAGATGCGGGGGAAGAGATGCGGGTGAAGAGATGCGGGTGAAGAGATGCGGGTGAAGAGATGCGGGTGAAGAGATGCGTGGGAAGAGATGCGGGGGAAGAGATGCGGGTGAAGAGATGCGGGTGAAGAGATGCGGGGGAAGAGATGCGGGGGAAGAGATGCGGGGGAAGAGATGCGTGGGAAGAGATGCGGGTGAAGAGATGCGAGTGAAGAGATGCGAGTGAAGAGATGCGGGGAAGAGATGCGGGGGAAGAGATGCGGGGGAAGAGATGCGGGTGAAGAGATGCGAGTGAAGAGATGCGGGTGAAGAGATGCGGGTGAAGAGATGCGAGTGAAGAGATGCGGGGGAAGAGATGCGGGGAAGAGATGCGGGTGAAGAGATCCGGGTGAAGAGATGCGGGGGATGCGGGTGAAGAGATGCGGGGGAAGAGATGCGGGTGAAGAGATGCGGGTGAAGAGATGCGGGGGAAGAGATGCGGGTGAAGAGATGCGGGGGAAGAGATGCGAGTGAAGAGATGCGGGGGAAGAGATGCGAGTGAAGAGATGCGGGGGAAGAGATGCGAGTGAAGAGATGCGGGGGAAGAGATGCGAGTGAAGAGATGCGGGGGAAGAGATGCGGGGAAAGAGATGCGAGTGAAGAGATGCGGGTAAAGAGATGCGGGGGAAGAGATGCGGGGGAAGAGATGCGGGGGAAGAGATGCGAGTGAAGAGATGCGAGGGAAGAGATGCGGGGGAAGAGATGCGGGGGAAGAGATGCGGGTGAAGAGATGCGGGGGAAGAGATGCGGGTGAAGAGATGCGGGTGAAGAGATGCGGGGGAAGAGATGCGGGTGAAGAGATGCGGGGGAAGAGATGCGGGGGAAGAGATGCGGGGGAAGAGATGCGGGTGAAGAGATGCGGGGGAAGAGATGCGGGTGAAGAGATGCGGGTGAAGAGATGCGGGTGAAGAGATGCGAGTGAAGAGATGCGAGTGAAGAGATGCGAGTGAAGAGATGCGGGTGAAGAGATGCGAGTGAAGAGATGCGGGTGAAGAGATGCGGGGGAAGAGATGCGGGTGAAGAGATGCGGGTGAAGAGATGCGAGTGAAGAGATGCGGGTGAAGAGATGCGAGTGAAGAGATGCGGGTGAAGAGATGCGGGGGAAGAGATGCGGGTGAAGAGATGCGGGGGAAGAGATGCGGGGAAGAGATGCGGGTGAAGAGATGCGGGGGAAGAGATGCGGGTGAAGAGATGCGGGGGAAGAGATGCGGGTGAAGAGATGCGGGGGAAGAGATGCGGGTGAAGAGATGCGAGTGAAGAGATGCGGGGGAAGAGATGCGGGGGAAGAGATGCGGGGGAAGAGATGCGGGTGAAGAGATGCGGGGGAAGAGATGCGGGTGAAGAGATGCGGGGGAAGAGATGCGGGTGAAGAGATGCGAGTGAAGAGATGCGGGGGAAGAGATGCGAGTGAAGAGATGCGGGGGAAGCGATGCGTGTTGCATCTCGTCTCTCAGGAGCTGTTTGTGTGTTGTGTCTTGTCTATCAGGAGCTGTGTGTGCTGCGGGGCGAGTTCCAGGCGCTGCAGCTGCTGCAGGAGGAGCAGGAGGAGGTTTTACGGCGCAGGGAGAGGGAGCTGACGGCCCTGAGAGGAGCTCTGGAGGAAGAGATCTCAGCTCACGCCTCAGACCTGCACACACTGCAGGAGGAGCAGCAACAGGAGGTTCAGCAACTGAGGGAGGCCACGAGTCAGGCCAAAGAGGCAAGCAGCTGGAGACACAACACACTCACAACAACACACTCTCACAACAACACTCTCTCACAACAACACTCTCTCATCAACATACTCTCACACCAACACACACTCACAATAACAATCACAACAACACTCTCACAACAACACGAAATGACGCCTATCAAGACAAGCACATACTCAGCAGGGCTTTTTTTTACACTGCACTTATTGTGGTGCTAAACGCCGCTTTTAACCCTGGGTGAAGGAATGTTTCACACCTGTAATTTAGAAGAAGGGTTAGCAGGTCTGTTTATGTTAGGGATAATGTACATCCAGCCGGTTGTTTTCTCAGAATAAACCCCACAGGGTGATCAGGATCAGGTCTTGCTTCAGCCTAAAGGGGGTTTATTCTGAGATAACAACCGGCTGGATGTACATTATATCGCTTATTACACGGCTACTTGCCACATAAGTAAATAATTAGAAACAAAATATGACATATTATGCCCCTTTTCACAAGATGTAATATAAATATATGGTGTCCCTAGAATGTGTCTGTGAAATCTCAGCTCAAAATTCCCCCCAGATCATTTATTATAGCTTGTCAAATTTACCCCTTTTTGGGTGTGAGTAAAAATGCGCCGTTTTTGTGTGTGTTCCTTTAAATGCAAATGAGCTTTAGCTCCGCCTCCGTTCAGAAGAGGGCGGAGCCTTCACACGAGCTTCAGAGACTCCGGCAATAACAACACAGGCCAATCTCACTGATCCAGAGTCAGGAGTAACCAGCAGCGAGTGCAGCCTTACGGAGAGACTCAGGGAGAGCTTCACTTTTACACGTTTCTGAATGTTAGCGGAGACATTTCTGTAGTTGTTGTGGAGTTACACTGATCATCTCCTCATCATGTTGAACTCTTCCACAAGTGTCCACAGTTCCTGAGGTGTTTATAAGACAGCGCTGACATGTTCTGGTCAATAGTGTTCAGTGTCGTCTGTGCTCGACCACAGAACAGTTTCAGGCTTTGCTGGATCTTCTCCAGTGCGTTAGAACTGGTCTCTGTTGGCGCTCGCCGAACCCAATGTCGCTGGTGTGTGTGAACGTGCAGATTAAGGGCCGGGAATATTATAATAAGATCCTCTTCATACAGCTTGCAGAGATAGGCTCACCAGAACAGAGTTACTGGGTTTCACTTTTCACGTTTTCTGGGTTGGTAGAAGCACCGGGGACCCGATTATAGCATTTACACACGGGGAAAGTCAGATTTTCATGATATGGCCCCTTTAAGTAGTAAGCATTAAGATGAAATAAAAAATGAATTACTGCAGCCCATGTCAGTTGTAACCCTGCTTACACGCTGTGTTTCTCGCCTCGACTAACATCTGTCCAGAGTGTGGCGCTGCTGGGCCGGAGGGTTCTGGAGGTTGCGGAGGAGAAAGAAGCCAGTCAGACGCTGATCTCAGACCTGACGCACACTAAAGCAGAGCTCCTGCAGAAGACCAGCGCTCTGGAGGAGCAGATCTCCTCGCTCAACCTCCTCATCCAGCAGAAGGAGGCGCAGGAGACGCAGCTCAGAGAACACGCGGAGCAGCTGATGGTGAGATCAACATGTCAATATACACTGACTGTACTGTGCTTCTCCATGAGGAGGAGGAATGTACAAACATCCCAACACCAACCTGTTAGTGACCATTCAGTGCTCAATCGAGCATGTTGACCATGATCCTCTTTGAGATCATGAGCTGATTCTGCTGAGCGAGTCATGACTCAGTTGAAACGGCCTGAATGAAGCTTCTCTGGATGAGCTGATTCAGCTGAGCGAGTCATGACTCAGTTGAAACGCCTGAATGAAGCTTCTCTGGATGA